CAGGTTTCTTTTCAGTGGAGGCTGAGGTGGGGAGGTGATCCCGTGACCTATGGCTGTTACCCTTCCCATGCCGTCGTTACCGTTACCCAGTAACTCCTGAAGAGAGCTGCAGCCAGTCCCACAAGCTGGGACTTCTTGAAATTAATTGTCATTCATAGCTGAAATGCTTTGTTTAGTTCTGGGAACTCAGCTCAAGTTTTTCTCTGTTAGGTAAACTTACGTGGGGTGGTGGATGTGCTGTGTCTGCAGGACTTGCCAAGGTGTGCAGGAGCTTTGGGGGTGTTTAGGGCCTCCCTGCTGTTGCATAAAGATTGTTATCTGCATCTAGTTTCAATTTAAGAAGTGATTGGAAGATTGAAGAGGACGGTACTGTTCCTGGACTTATTCCTGTTTCTGAGCTGCATTTAATTTGGGCAAATCAAAAGATTTTCTTTGTTTCTCAGGGACAGTTCAGGAAAGGCAGATGGCAGTCTGCAGCTACTACAGCAGGAATAGGACTGTGGCCCTTTAGGGTGCACTGTTTAGACTGACTGCTGTGGAGCAGTTGTATATTAATCAATCATTCTGCCATCTTTGACATCCGCTTCATCCTTATGCAGTACAGATTTTCTTTTCATTCACCAGTAAAGTTTCACACAATGTTGAACTCCTGGTGACATTGTTCCCAGCTCTATCACATTTATTCTTTGCAGGCCAGGTAGAGTGTGTACCTACACTTGTTCACTTCTATATGGTTCTGGTGCTTCCTGATTCTTAGTGGTTTGCATGTCAAAAGATTATCATACAGGCTTTAGTTATTAAATGATGCCTTTTTGTTTTCCAGAGCAAATCGTCATGTTTTGGCCAAATGTCAGTTGTATCAAAGGGCAAACTGCATGCAAAACAGCAGAACTCCTGAAGTTGTTATTTATTTACTGCTAGCAGCATGTCTGTGAGAGCTGGACTTCACTGGAAGAGCCTGTGTGATAACATTAAACATGACAATGCTAGTGGAAGCAGTGAACCCTGTGGGCTTGCAGCAAGGAAGGAAGGGGACTCATAAGCAAAAAAACCCAGTTTCTAAACTGTTGAGTTACTGGTGTTTTGTCACAGGAGAATGAGAACAATTTCATGCTTTATATCCCACTTTTCCTTTCACAAGAGTAGAATATGTTCTACTTTGTTTGCCCTTTCCTGCTTCCCTTGAAGCCTTGTCTGCTCAGCTCGCGACCAGCAGCTCAGCAGTGCTCCGATTGTGTGATCTTGGGGATTGCCTGGAAGGCTCCAAAAGGTTTGGAAAAGAAGAAGGGAATGAGATGGGCACTGGGATCCAGAGAGAGCTGAGGAGGGGGAGAGCAGACACCAACGAGAACAAAGGCAGAGACTATCTAAAACCTCACATTTCTCCATGAAGTGCCTGAATTAGAAATAAGGATACTTGTTGCGTAAGCTGTAACATAAGTCTATGTTTAATTCAGAACATGGTGCACTGTAAAGGAAGGTTTGCAGAATGCTTCCAGCTTCATGCCTGTGGGTTTATTTCTCAGCTTCTGGTTTTAAAAACTTCACCAACATTCACAACTTCAGGATATTTTTCCAGTGGGGAGAACTCACAGGGTATTTTGTTAATATTCAACAGTCCTATGTTTTTAAAATAGCAAAGATACCCACTTTCTTTCCCAAATACCCTTTTCTGGATGTGACCCATAATTCCTGCAGTAAATCTTCATTATCCTTAAGGCTCCAGCTGAGAGGAGGGGGTGCTTTGTCGGGTGGTGCCCTTCAGCGCGCACAGAGAAAGGCAGAAACGGCTGCTGTGTGCGGCAGGAGACTCCGCGCAGGAGGTCAGTCCTGGAGGCACGGTGTGGTCCTGCCTGCCCACCATGTGCAGGCTGTGGGAGAGACGGGACGTCCAGGGGCTCACTGGGAGCAGGCCCCTTGCTGGGAGTACACCTTGGCCCCGTGCTGGGAGGAGCCCTCTGGGACACTGATCTCCAGAAAGGTCTTGGGAGAGGTGAAAGCTGGAGAAGTGAGAGAGTTTCACAGAGAAGTGCTTTTTAGAGAGGAAGTGTAGATAAGAAAGCAAAATTGAAGATGAAGTGATTGACAGCATTCTGAGTATCATTGATGTATTTTGGTCTGTGTTGGAGGCTACAGCTTCCACATTCATTGCTGACAGAGTAAAGATCTGCAGATAGTGTTTTTTTCCAGTTAACTGCAGGGTAACATCTTTTGGGGGTTATTCTGGAAGATGAGATAAAAATGAAGCAGGCAGCTCTTTCTGCTCGGTGTAGTATATGTGCATGTATGTGTGTGTGGCTTCATGTACATATATCTGCGGTAACTTCAGCTCTATTAATGTGGTTTAGGCCTGATATCCCCCGAACATTCTGGGAGGTAGTTACTTTATTTCAATAATCAAGCAAGAATAGCACTAAAAGATGAAATTAGGCCCCTCTCACTTTTTTCCTCTGTGGTACTGTTGCCTTTCCTAGGCTTGGAAACACTTCTTTTTTTCTGGTAAAGCATTTTCCACTGTCAGGAATGTTTCCTTGACCCCATCTTGCAGGTAACAGAAACTCTACCTCAGTTCCTTTTTCTTTTTTCAGTGGATATTTTTCCTTTAATCCAGCCCTACTCAATTACCTTTCTAAATTTCTCTCAGGGAAAACTGGAAAATCCTGGCAGCACTAGAGCTGTGGCTGCCTGCTGACTCCGTGTCTGGAAAGAGGCAGCAGCAGTAATCACAGGAAGCCCCAGTAAACAGCATCTAAGTCAGTTTGGGCTCTCTGGCCCCGGTGCCTCTAGAACGACTTGGTACGCCAGTGCTAAATTGTGTGGTTCCATCTCTGTAGAGACACAAAATACAAATGCCTGTCTGATCAGCTGTTAGGGAGTAAATTACCCTTTTGTAGCAAACTGAGAATGTGGTTTCTTGCACCTCGTTCTGGATTCTCCCTTTACTGTGTTCCAGCTCCAGTGTGCTGTTGCCGTTCGAGGTCGGTGGTTTTGCCGCGTCCCAGCCTGCGCCGTCCTACGCAGCGGCCGTCCGGGAGTGCTGCGGTGCGCCGGCCGCAGGCAGATGTGTAGTTGCCAGTCTTTATTCTGTCAGGCCTAAACATGCAAGTACCTCATTCTGGAATGCAAACATCTCCGACGAACTGCTGGTGCCCGTGGCTGTAGGGCTGCCTGGTGGCTGCGGGGTGGGTGAGCTGAGAGCAGCCTGGGCCGGCGCTGCCACGGCACCCAGAGCCTCTCCTGGTCCCTGCTGCGGAGGCGTCTGTGCCACAGGGGTCTCTGAAAGTGCTTTTTGCTTTAGGGTGGCTGAGGATCTTTAAATGACACAGCAAAGAAGCGTTTCCCCTACGCAGGAGAGAATCTCCTGTGATTATTTTTTTTTTTAAATCTATTGTCCTTACTGCTTTGCTTATGAACTCTTTTCTTTCTCAAAAGACCTCCTTTGCATGGTTAATCTGGTGAAAATGTCGTCTTTTGCTCAAACCCAACAAGTCTTCATGTATTAGTATTCATTTGGCATTGACAGCCTAAGATTTCTACTTTTTTGACCATTTCTGTCCCATCTGGCCTCCTTTTTTTTCCCGAGCCAGCACTAAACCAGATCTGTTTGTGCTGTGTCACATAATACATGACAAGAACAAGCCATTTTTATTAACTGCTTTCCAAAGCCCATTTTCTTTCTCAGTCATGTGCGCCTACAACAGGCTCAGCTCTGATGTACAGTCTCAGCCCTCCTGGCGAAAGAGTCTTCATGTAGCCAGCACAATTAGATCCTGTGTTACCACCTTGCGTGTGCAGCACTGTGGGAAGGGCAATCAGATGCTCTTTTGTAGCTGTAGGTATACAGTGCAATGCCAGGATTTCACGGGTATCGTAACTGGGAGCAACACAGGAAGCTCTGGGTGATACAGGCCAATGTTCTCGGGACAGCAGGATCAGTATGGCAAGAAGTGAGTCTGCTTCCTTCAGTTCACAGTGACTCTACTGAGGATTCTGCTGTCGTCTCAAAGGGTGTGTGTCACTCCTGCAGGTTTCGTGGATGTGGTAGGAATGTCAGAGTGACTGTGTGAACATGAACATGGCACCATCCCTGCTTGGTGCTGAGACACATGGACGCAGAAGTTTCTAAGGAGCTTATTTACCCACATTTATTGTGTGGGTAGACAGAATATCTCTTTATGTGAGGCTGTCAGTCAGTGCCAATAATCAAGACAAATTCTAAGAAACCCCAATAACCTGACAACCCCCCCCCCCCAAACCACTAGATATGTGGGACAGAGGAACACTCGTGTTCTTAGTGATATGGAAAAAACCCTTGGCTTCCTGATGGGCGTGTCTTGCTGATGTGCTTGGGTTTAAGCTTACTGTATGACTTTGGCTTAGGCAGAATTTTCCCCCCAAAATTCAGTTGATGGAAATAATTTGTGGAATAGTTTTCCATTCCCTTGGAAGTGGCAAAGGGGACAACTTCTAGTCTGGTACAGGCTATTGCATGTAATCGGTTCTCTGCTTCTGCAGAGACCTGGAATGATGGTGAGGACTTCAGCACCTCCCCTCTCCTCCTGTGGCAGTGTTGTGAAGTCTCTGAGTTTGGCACAGGATCTTGGGTGGGACCAGGGGTTGGGAAGGGTAAGAGGAAGATATATGTTTGGTAGATCCTTGAGACTAAACCTGCTTTGTGGTTACTTCCATCTGCAAGGCTTGGATTAAATGACCTGTCCCTTCTAGTCCTGTACTCTCAGTGTCACTAATCCTTACAGTAAACAGACTCCTGTCTCCATTGCATGGTGCCCCTTTCTGAGAGCAGAAGGGTGTATATGGAACCTCCACTCATACGCCAGACTTATGTACAGAAGCCTGATTGTGCTGGGATCTCCCTTGCAGGTTTTCAGACAAAGGTTGCAGTGTTTGGAGAAGTGAGCTATCTCTTGTGTTCTGTGACCATGTGAGCTGTCATGCTGCAGTGTCCACTGACAAATAATAGTATGTCTTCTTTCTCACAGAGCTTCCAAAGCAGCTGAGACCAGGACCTTAAGGAATGTCATGCAGTAGGTGCTAAACTAACTGGCACTGAAAGGAACAGAAAAAGATGGCAGTTCGTATTTGAAATATTTAAGCACGTGGACTCTCGTTGATAAGAAATCATGTCAAAAAAAGGACGTAGCAAGGGCGAAAAGCCTGAGGCACTGATTGTTGCCCTGCAGGCTGCCAATGAGGAACTCAGGACCAAGCTAACAGACATTCAAATTGAGCTGCATCAGGAGAAATCAAAGGTGAGTGAGGGTTTGGTTTTAAATAACAGTGTCTGTGCTGAAGGAGAGAAACACATGGAAAAAATAGTCATAGGAATCAAGAGAGGCAATACAACTCTCTCCTAAAACAGTGGTCTGATTCTTTCCCCACATACAACATTTTCTTATGTGGATGTCCTGTTGCAACCTTTTAAAATAGACAAGATTTCAAGCTGCAACAAAGCGGTCATCTCACTCTTTCAAACTCATTCTTCATCCTTTCATTCACAGACATTTGATGACAATTTTGGAAAGCAAAAATGGGTTTTGATTCTTTTGTTTTCCCTGCAAGCTTTGGCATTCATGTGTTGCATACAGGCAAGGCTTAGTTATCCTCCTAAGGAACCCCGGGCTGGCTGCCAAAAAACTGATGGCCCAGGGACCTTCTCTAGTGCTTTCCACTATGTTCTGAGTCTTGCTGCTTTTGTTATCTCTGCAGCTATGGAATTCCAATATGGAAGTTGCCAGAGCAGATTTTTGTTACTAGACATCACTTCAAGGATGGCCCAAAATAATGAGAGTTACAAGAGTAGGAAAGTCTTGAAAACAAAACCAATAAACCTTATCTGGAATATATTCAAATGCGCTTGGGTAACACTGGAAAGGAGGGTAACAGGACAGGAACAAAATAATGAAATTGCTCACATGCTTCAGTACCTCTCAGGATGCCCATCCATAGATGCTCTTGTCTGTTCCTGTAACTAAATTGGACTGAGTGCTTGGGGTATTAAAGACATTGTCATCATGGAGTAGTGGGGGCTAAAAACGACAGTTTGAGGAAGTAGATCACACTTCTGAACTGTTCTGCAGTTTGGATTGAGAGGAGCAGACATCACTGCAAATTTTATTTTAATCTGGATTCAGATTTTAGCTCTTTCCTCCTTTTTCCCTAGATGTAAGCAGGTTCAGGTTGGACATCTTGGTACAACTGAACTTGTAAAATCAGTGTAGAAGCAGGATGCCAGACTGAGCAGTCACCCACAGTGCCAGGAGCTTTAAGGAAGTGTTCATTCCACAGAGGGGTCAGACAAGTAGGATCTTTGGGCTTTTCCTATCTCTGCTAGCAATAAGTTCACTCTGCCGATGAATCCAAAGTGGGTAGAGAATTCTGGGCCATTGTGGTCTTTTATTGAACATGTGTCTCTTCCATTACTCTAGGTGCAATAATCTTTTTCCCTCAAGGCCCTCATTCCCTTTCCCCTTCTTCCTATCAGAATGGTACATCTATAAGTCAGCCTCACATCTGATGGTATTTCAGTTTAACAAACTAGGCAGCCTGGAAACTAATAGCCCTAAAACCGGGCACCCCAGAGCTCAGCTGGGTGGTACTCAGGCCCTGGCTGGGTCTGCGTTTGTGCTGTTGTGGATACCCAGACTCCTGTGTTGACAGTTCAGGTGTATCTTTCTATGCTGTGCCAGAATGGATCACTTAGAATATTCACACCTTGTTCTGCAGTGCATTCAACTTCCTTTTTAATAAACGGGAAGAGATAGAAAGAGGGCATTAGGCTCATTTTTAGTCACCACTGTTCAAAATCAAGGAAGAACCTAGAATGAAGGAGTAGTGAAGGTAAACCAAGAACCTGTCCTAAGGACTTGGGGGTTGAGGGGCTAAGGTTATGTGTGGCTTTCTTCTCAGAAGTGATCTATGTAGTAAAGGCATTTTAACGTCTTGTGAGAATTGTACAGATGTGATTAAAAGAAACTGCTTTTTGGTCTGCAGCTGCACAATCCTCTTGCTGCATGTGACTTGCATTATTCCATGTAGATATTGCATCGACAGCTCTGAAATCCTCCGGAGAAGTCAGTGGCAGTTGCAAGTGCAGACCACCTTTAAGAAGATGTATATCAAGTACTTTGCTCTGAAAAGTTTTTGTGTATCCTAGAGCCCTGTGGAAGAAGTTCTAGGAGAATCTTTCAGATTTGCTTTCCACGGAGCCTTTGGAGGAAGATTCCTCTCATTTTTAGAGTCTGTTACTTGTCAGAACGACCTTGGTGATTGAAACCAAAGTAAAAGTACACTTTCAAACTCTTCTTATTGCTTATTTTGGGAAAGCTGTATCTGAAATAAGATGGGGATAGCATGGAAGGAAAGAAAAAAGTCAGTGAGCTCCGTATATAGCCCATAGCACTTCCTACCTTAGCTAAATCCTCTCCAAAAGATCAGTTAGGCCTGCAGGCTAGATCACCAGTGTCTTTGGGAGGGTTTTCAGATGACCTACTACTATGCTTTTTCACATTGACTGGTTTCTCCCCTGTTTTTTTTTTTTGGAAAGGTTTGCTCACTGTTCCTCATTTCTTGTGGCCTTTATTTAAAAAGGAATTAATGAGGAAGTTCTTACAATCTTTGAAGCCACATTCTATTTCACCATAAATAACAAACCTGCCGAATTTGCTTTGAACTGAACAATCCTTATCCATTGCTTTCCTTTGGTGTAGGTTCACACAGGTTTCTACTGTGGAATTTCTCAGCCATATGAAGTTGCATCTAGAGATATGCTAGTGTAAGCATACTGAGGGCTGGTGGGTTGTGCTCTTAACTTTGATTCCAAAGCTATAGACAAAGAGCTTTTAAAAAACTGTTGTTAATGAAGAGCAGCAAAGGACATACTTTAAGTAAAGCTAGCTGTTCCATAAGCATAATAACCAGTGAGGCATGCTTTTCTGTAGAGGTGTCCAAGAAGTGACTACAAATGCCTGTTAAAACTCTATGTATGGTGAAGAACATCTGTAAAAGATGAAATGTTTCCTGGACTTTCAGACTTGCACCTTATCTCAGATGGTATTGTGTGGAGGCAAGCACTTCTCTCTCATCTGATTGACTGCCCATGGTCATGAAAGTTGTAGGAACCTTGCTATTTCTGAGCCCTCTAATTTTCTAATGAATTTGACTGATGGGTTGAAGTTATCAGACAAATGCACACATATACACGGAGTCTTATTTCCTAAGGAAAAAGATATGTAGTGTCACTGTGGGGCAAGACACCTGGAGAAGACAGGGTTGTTTTGGCTTGAGTAAAGACAGTGTAAAATCTATGTGAATGCCCCAGGAGTTGGCCCATATTTTGTTGTAGGAGCATGGAGGATCACCTGGGGTCTGCAGCAGGGTCTTCCTCAGTTTGACATGGCTGTGTGTCTGGTGGGCTTGTTTTGAGAGCATTCTGACTTTGATTTTATTTCCATGTAGGTTGCTAAACTTGAAAGAGAGAAGACTCAAGAAACGAAGCGCATCCGTGAGGTGGAGCAGCGCAAGCAGACGGTGCAGATCACAGAGCTGAAAGCCAAACTCCATGAGGAGAAAATGAAGGAGCTGCAGGCCGTGAGGGAGAACCTCATCAAACAGCATGAGCAGGAGATGACGCGGATGGTGAAAGTCCGAGACAGCGAAATCCAGCGCCTCAAGTCAGCGCTGTGCGCGCTGCGGGACGGGAGCAGCGACAAAGTAAGGACAGCGCTGACTATTGAGGCTCGTGAAGAGGCCAGAAAACAGTTCGACTCCGAGCGCCTTAAGCTTCTGCAGGAAATTACTGAACTGAAGTCTGCCAAAAAGCAGGTAGATGAGGCCCTTAACAATATGATCCAAGCTGATAAGATCAAGGCGGGGGATCTTCGGAGTGAGCACCAGTCCCACCAGGAAGCCATTTCCAAGATCAAATGGGAGAGTGAAAGGGATATTCGCCGCCTGGTCAGTAACCAAAACAGTCGATGTGTTCTCTTACGCTGTAGTGAGCTTGCTTCTGTGCCTCTTAGCTTTCTGTGAATAACAGAGCTCTGAAGCACACCTCAGTTTGCAGAAGCGTGACAGACTCCTCGCTGCCATTTCTCAGCCGTAAATAGAGGGCGGGGGGTTGGCTGGAGCAGCCGCCGTGACGGCAGCTGGGCACGTGCATGCATGGCCTTGTCTGCGGGGCCCGGCTGGCGGAGTGCTGACACGTGTGCCACGTCGGGTGTTAGGGAAGGGTGTCTGCCTCTGCACTTGCAGTCTGTTAGTTCCTCTATCTCTTGTGATGGCAGCCTAAACACATTAAGCCATGGCAGGAGGGGAGGTGTGTTCTGGTTTGTTCTTGGCTCAGTGATTACTGGGGAGAATGAACAAAATGAGGCCCATGTCAGCAATGCTGCAAGTTGCTGTTTCCCCATCATCTGGGGAGCTGGACCTGCCTGGGACAATGGAATTCAAGATTTCACAGTTAAGTAAAAGAAATGGTAACTTAAACTGTCAAGAGTGATTGATTGATTTTTTTTTTTTTTTTTTTTTTTTTCCTTCCTTTCCCCCCCCTTTCAAAGTCTGTGTACTGGAGGCATGTTCTTGTGTTGCCAAAATGCTCAGTAATATAGTACAGACTAGTAGTGGTGGATTCTTTCTATCTGCCCTCTGAATTTTGACCCTTCTTCCTTTGATCCCCATTTGCATTTCTGTGTAGCCATGAGAACAAACTACTTTTCTTTTTTTCTCATCAGAAATTGAGGATCTGTTTTCCAGGTTTTAATGTAAAAAGGAACTAGTGAAATTCAGGATATAAACTGAGCCATTTAGTAACATTAAGATCAACTCAGGTTCCACTTATGTACTGTATGATTTTATCTTTAGCAACTAATGAAAGGCTTTTTAAAGGCTACTTACTTGCATAAGGACCTTGAACAAGTCCAGAATTATTTTTATCTGACTTGAAGTGGATTTGGAAACCACTTGTGTATTGCTGTCAGAGCCGGGGAAGTTACATCAGAGTGACATCTAGTTAATGGAGATCAGGATCTAGCCCTGCTCATTTGAAAAATACTTTGGGGAGGATTTCAGCAAACCTAGAAAGCTGAAAGACCAGAAACCATCTCTGGCAGCTTCAGGGGAAATCAGCATAGATACAATTTTTGCTTTCAGGGAATGATTCATATTGTTCCCAGATGATAGCACTTCTGTTTTGCCAGAGTGATTTGCAAATTCTGGTTCATCAAATTTTCTTGAGCTCAGTGACATTAACAGCTTTATATCAATTGTTATGGTTGCAAGGCTAGTATGGCCTGATCTGATTCTAGGTTTTAATCTGAAGATTTCCTCTCAGCGTCATTCTTAAAGTTGCTGTGAGATGAAATAAGAGGCACTTTTTTTTTGTCTTGGATAGTCCTAGGATATTAGGCAGAAATGAACTAACAGTAAAATGAATACCCTTAACTTTGCACTCAGCAGAAGATTAATAAAGTGACAATGAGCTTATAAGAAATACTGGGTCTGCACAGATCTTCTGTTTATGAGAACTGGACTGTAAACTTGGCTGTCTCAGCTAATGTAGCTCCATTTACACAAGCAGGAGCTAGTCTAAGCTTTTTTGGTATTAGAATTTATACTTATTTTTTTCACTGATATGAATAATTGACCAACATGCAATCTGAAAGCCTGAACTCTTCATCCCATTATCTGTTAACACATCATGCCATGCTCAGTTCCTGGCCTTCACCCTGTGCAGGGCTGGTGAATCTACTGCTGTGCCCGTGTAACGTTGTGGCTGAATCTCAGTGTATTGTTTTACAAGCCTGGTGCAGTATGATGATGCAGATTTAAGTGGTGAACACTACTATTAAATAAATCATATACTGCTAGATTGCAGAAGGAAATGCTGTTGCCTTTATGCAGTTATATTTATGTTCTGGTGCTTCTCTCATTCAGATGGATGAGATCAAGGCTAAAGACAGGATCATATTTTCCTTGGAGAAAGAACTGGAGACACAGACAGGCTATGTGCAGAAGCTGCAGCTGCAGAAGGAAGCTCTGGATGAACAGCTCTTCTTGGTGAAGGAGGCAGAGTGTAACATGAGCAGTCCCAAGAGAGAGATCCCAGGAAGGGCTGGAGATGGTTCGGAGCACTGCAGCAGCCCTGTACGCAGGTTTTACTGGCCCCTGCAAAACAGAAACATGGCTGTGTTTCTCTTAAATATATTCTCAGGCCCTGGGAAAACATTCTAACTTTTATTCACTACAGGGAAGTTATGTCCATAGATTCTTCAGAGAGAATTCTAGTGGGTCAAAGGCTGTTTCCTCAGTTGCTCTATTTACAAATATAAAACATCTTAAATAATTAGTGCCCCTTTGAAAGAGTCATTCCATGAACATAACTACCTGGAGATTGTACATCCTAAAAGCAGATGGAATTGGGAAGGTGGGCAGGGAGAAGGATGGGGTGGGAATGGAATCTGGGAGACTCTTAGGAAATCCTTCTCTTTCTCTGTCTTATTCTTCACGTATACAGCCCTTGCTGTTGTTCACAAAGCATACAACTCACTGGTTGTGACTAAATATATGATGTTCACACAACACATGAATATACACATATTTACACATATACAAATGAGGAATAAGAAAGTAAATGCAATTGATACTGAAAGGGATGTCATTTTTTACCTGACATAGTGGTTCAGCAAATAGAAGCAATGTATAGGAAAAGGTAATAAAAATTAGAATTTCTTAGCGTTTTGCTTTTTCTTCCTCATTACAAAAAAAAAATCAACATCTGATTGGTTATTTTCTCATTTTTTTAAACAGCTGAAAATTTTCAATTAAAGTATCCCCAAAGCAGATACATTCTTCCAAAAATAGATATGTTTTTGCCAGCATGTTCAACACTGTACAAATCATAAATACAACTTGATGATGACAGCTTATGTTGCCTGATGGGTGGTTTTTGAGAATTCTTTTCCCAAGCATGTATTTTGAAAAGAATCAGTAACTGTCTTATGTTGTTGCCAATGAACAGGACTTGCGCAGAAACCAGAAGAGGATAGCAGAGCTGAATGCCACAATCCGGAAGCTGGAAGACAGGAACACGTTGCTCGTTGATGAACGCAACGAACTGGTGTGTGAGCTTTATGCTGTCAGAGAGAGGAGGGTGGGGACCCATAGGGGAAGGCAGAGAGGAGGGTCCAAGGATGGTAGCCAGTGATTAATGTGTCTCCTCCCTCACTCGGGAAGCTGAGGATGATTTTTTTTTTAATCCTAGAATTAAACAGTAATTTCACTGAAGTTATATGAGTACAAAATCACAACAGTGGTTGAGGCAGAGAGGCTTGTAGGCTTCTGTGTGAATGCTTGTGTTCCCTCCTTGACTTCTTGAACATACAGTAGTGTATGGTGAGACTTGTGAATGAAATAATGTCTGTAGTCCAGTATTTGACCAGGTTGAGAATAGTTAAGTACTGGAACTAGGGAGAATGGACAGCAGTGAATTTACCCCTTTATCTGATTTGCTCCTAGGTGGTGATACCTGTTTGTTGAAGTCAGCACCCTGGCTTTTTAACCTCTCCATATTGCTACTTCTGTGATTAAGGATAAGGGTGGTGAAATTCAACTCTTGGTTATTTTATTTTATTCCTGAGCTAGGACTCCTAATGCACTCCTTTCATATCAGTTTAGCTGGCTTGGTTGTCCTCAATGTTCTTAGCGTAATATTTGCAAAATAATGTTGCAAAATCTTACCAAGATTGCAGATTACAAATATGTTCATGTGTGTCTCTTCAGAAATGAGAAGCTCTCAACCCCCAAATTTCTGTGATACTGAGTAGCTTGGAGTCAGCGTGATTAACTGTTGCATGTCATTAATATTCAGCCTATTTTTTCACAAGGAAAAAACCCCAATTTTAAAAGGCTTCTAAGCTGTATCTTGCACATTGTGACTACAGTGAACACATTTTGTTAAGCGTGACCAGGAGTACTGCTAGAAGTACCATACACTTTAAGATATGTTCACACTAGCCACAACTAACTTCATTGTCGGAGTAGGACAAGAGGTTGTTTTGCCCACAACTGCTGATCAAAGGTGTAACCGCTTCCTAGCTGCTCCCCCCTTTTATCTTCAGGTGCTTGCTAACCTGCTCCAGACAAAATCCCTGGGTTAGTTTAAATTAGTAAATTAAATAGCCTTGTAAGATGATGTGATGATGTAAGCAAATGTGATTAACTGTCCTTAATAGCTAGAGAAAACTCACAGTCCTTCCCTCAGCAGAACTGCAAGGGGCAGGAGCCTCCCAGTGAGGAACAGTAATACAGAACTGGGACAGTGCCTTCATTAGTCGATTATCTGGGCATGAAGACAAAGTCTTTCCACTGCCACATGCCACCTTCCTTATCCTCCCTTAGAAAAAGAAATTATATGTATAAAACACTCAGTATTACTGGGTGGAACTAATTTTTCAGAGGAAGAGATCTTGGTTAAAACTCTAGTTGTGCCAACACTGGAACTTCCAAGAATACCCTAAGATACCTTCCTATCTGTGGGATTTGTTGTTTAAATGTTACGTGATTTGTTGATTAAAACAAAGTTCATTGTGCATACGCACAAAAAAAAAAAAAAGACTCACAACTATGCTGTTATCACTGCAATCCAGACTGAGTAGGTACTTATGCAAATCTGTCTTTCAATGAGAAAATCAGTAGGTTTCTTGCAGATCATTTTGGACTTTGAGTGTGTGTTGGGTGGCTTCATCTCTGTGTCTGCGTTTTCCCATAGATAGACATCTCTTGGAAACAGATTTGCTCAGTCATGCTTTGAGGTTTATAGACACGGAAGCTGTGAGCATCAGTTCCATTAGATGGCTTTGTCCAGCATTTTACTGGGACAGTAGTTCAACAGGGAGGTAACAAAAATACTTTTAACAAAGGAGGGAGAAAAAAAATCTTTTATTTGGATTATTTACAATTATTAATTGCTGTTATCAATCCAGTTGAAGCGTGTCCGAGAAGCTGAGAAACAATGTAAACCTCTTCTGGAAAAGAACAAGTGCCTCACGAAGAGAAATGATGAACTTATGCAGTCCCTGCAGCGCATGGAAGATAAACTCAAAGCAGTCACTAAAGAAAATATAGAAATGGTTGGTACTGAAGAGCAAAATGAGGATTGCTGTATGATCTGTGTCTGTGGTGCCCACATCTGCATAGTGTGTGCATCTCTGTACACAGAGAGGATGTGTTGTGTGTAGTGTGTAATACTAGTGATAATGTGCAGCCATAGTTAGGTCTGTATTATGTGTACATGTGCAATATATTTAAGTGAATCCATAATCAATCTTTAATACTGTCCCCAAAATTAGAATATTGAGTTTCAGTTGTTTTAGAAAAAAAGAAAAAGAAAAAAATATGAGTGTCATTGAGTCCTGTCCCACTGTGCTGTTTTGTGTCTGGAGCTCAGACACAAGCTGTGAGTGCTGTGTTTGAGCCAGCATGGTGTACGTGTTCTTGTTAGAACTGATGATGGCCAAGTTCTGGTCTGAGCACATACAGTTTTTCCATGAAACACGTGCATGGTAGATGGATGGGGAGAGGGAGAACAGTGGTGTTAGGAATTTCGCTGAGGTTATGAGTTTCACACATCAGGGCTGTATGAAGCGGGGTCAAAGCGGTTGTGTCTGTATATCCTTCAAATGGAACTTCCCTGAGTATCCGTCAGAACCTGGTCCCTGCACGTGCACGGGTGTTGCTTTGGTCCTGGTTCTCTGAGGTGACTTCCCCTCCAAGCGGTGTTTGTGTGTCTTGCCTCTGGCTTGCAGGAGCCACTGTCCTGGTCTTGCGCAGGGGGGCTGTTCCTTGGCGGATGCAGCTTTCCTGCTGGTGGGATGAGATGATCAGATTCCTTTGCCTGTCTGACACCTTTCCCCAGCTGTGGTTGTGCAGGTCACAGCCTCCTGGGCTTGCCCGCAGCAGAGAGAGGGGACGTGGGAGCCTGCGTGCGTTAGACATCGTGGGCAGCACCACTGGTCCCTACATGCAGACACAGGGCAGATGCTCTGACTCGGCTCCCTGATGTTGGCTCTTCACCTACAGATGCCCAAATCATGGAAGTTGGCATGCTGTGGGTGGCTAGTGTTGTTCTCATGGGCTGTAGCCATCTCTTCTCCCACATATGCTCAGGAGCAGGCAGAATGTACACCTCTAGTTAAAATAGATGTGGCACCGCGTTTTTTGCGTGTCTCACCTGATAGAGCATGTCTGGTTCCTCCCGTGTATGGTCTTGTGAGGGGTGTTGGTAAGGGCATGGGGTCAGGGGAGCAGGTACTACTTGAAGGGAGTTCATCTGTTTGCCTTATGTTGGGGCATATGGATGCATGGCAGAGGAAGAGCAATGGTGTGTGACCGATAAGGGCTGCTGTGAGGGAGATGCTGCCACACGGTAAGGAGATATATAAAGCTTTGTTGTTCTGGTTGAAGAACTCAGTCTTGCTGTGCTGCTTTATTGTTAAGTGCTGATGGGTATTAATGACATTATAGAAATGGTGTAGCTGAAGCATATTTAAATGTCTGTACAGCTTAAAAGAAAGATAATGTCTAATTTTTAACCGAAAGGTGGTCTCTGTCTTTTAATTGCTGGATCTTATTTTATGTGTTTCTTCTTACCACAGAGAGAAAAAATGACATCACATCCTCCTTTAAAGAAATTAAGATCTCTCAATGACCTGGATCAGGCTAATGAGGAACAAGAAACTGAATTCTTAAAGCTTCAGGTCATAGAACAACAGAACATAATCGATGAGTTAACAAGGGTATGTCCAGAGCACCAGGAAATGAGGAATGATTCCTGCATACAGTTCACCACTGATAGTATTTCTTCTTATAACTGGAGGTTGGAGGGTTAATATTTTTTAACACCTGTAAATGTTTAGATATAGGTGTGCATGGGTACATTTTAACTGAGTTTCTAGTGGGGTATCAGCCCCTACAACTCAAAAGTGTAACCCTTGTGTGATTGGAGCTCTAGAAATAGATGCAGACTAAGAACTGTGGAGCTTTGGAAGATCCCCACGTGTTCACAAGGCAGGGATGTGCCAGGCTGTTTTACCATCATAACTAAGCTACCATTAAAACGTTTCCTGAACGAGGGGCAGGCACACAGTGGGATATCATGTGCTGGAAGAGCGTGTGCTGCTGGACGGTGGCTCACGAGCTCTTCTGTCATTTGATATCGACAGTCCCCTTTTCAGCCAATTTTGCATTATGGTGTTGAGGGGAAGGAGAAAGAAAGTCCGAAACAGGCTGTTGCTTCTTCTAAGGCATCATTGCTAGGAGTGGTGAGACGACGCTGCCATCCCGTAATGGCTTTGGCACAGAGCAGGAGTGCAGAGAGCCCAGCCCCTGCACCAGGCCTCCCAGTGGCTTTCACAGGGAATCCATCAGCATCTGCTGTTTGACAGCCTGTCAAGGCAACTGCACAACAAGGGGTTTCTCAGCCCATCTTCCTTCTTTAAGTGGTTTTCAGGAGGATATGAGTTTTCCCTTCCACCTGGAATCAGGTTTCTGTTTGAACATAGGAGCAGAGGGTCAGTGGAAGCCCAGTGATTTATTTCCGCTGTAGATTTGCCCTTCTATAGCTGCCAACAAGAGAAGAGTAACTTTTTAATCTTGCTTTCCAGGATAGGGAGAAACTCATTCGTCGCAGAAAGCATAAAAGGAGCTCAAAGCCAATTAAGGTAAGTGGAAAAATTGTTTTCAGCTTATAAAAATCCTAGTAGACTATAGTAGAACACACTTTAGCAATCTGATTAGAGAGCTTTGTGGATTATAACAATCTGCTTTAGTGATCAGGTTTATAAACACCTTAGCTTGGGAGAGCTTTTTTAAGTCCACTTTGAAATTCTTTTTTTTCAGCAAAATGCTCCTTTTTCCACCCATCTCTGAAATAGTAGTAATCTTCCTTCCATCTGGTTTCTATAAATATTGGTCTCAAGGTCTATTATGCTGAGATTTATTTACATTTCCAGAGACCTTCTCATCTGTCTTCTGCTATCAATTTTTCACAGCACATACGGGCTAAAACAAAATTCTTGTGCAACTTTATTCTTCAAGTGGAAGTTGAAGCCTGAGAAATTGAGTGTCATTCTCTCCTGCTCAGTTCCACAGGCCTTTGGCTACCCGTTGTATTACCCTGAACTGGGTCAACCCAAAGCTGTTATTACAACAATTTTAGAGCTGAGCAGTCAGTAGTGGTTCAAATAGCTCTGTTACCAGCTAGGTGTGAAGAATGACTTTGCAACAGCCGCATCTCACCTCCAGAAAGCAGAAATATTATGTAGGAAACAGAGCTTGGTTGCTTTTTTTTCCTCCAAGCACATCCCTTAGTATGTCAGCCATATTCTTTGAAAGCAGCCCAAGTTTCTCCTACACACAGAGAATTTCAGACCAGTGAATCCTAGATGTGTCATCACATTGATTCTATATGAGTTTTGAAGCAATACACAGCAGACAGGGACTAAAAAGTATTTTCATCAGTCAACTCTATTTCTAAAACAGAGATTATACCATGGAAGAAAATGGCTATTGTCTTCACTTGGAAAAATAATGAACGAAAAAAGATAATATATGCAAAAGGTTATTGGCATCTTTGGTATGTGTTTCTTTTGTGTGATTAAAATTCCAGGTTTAGAAGGTTGTAACCTGTCAGCAAAAGTGAAAAATGTTGCAGAGCAGAAGTACATCTTAAATACTCATTGATCAGTTTGTCTGCAGAATTATTCAGAAGCCAAGTATTTAAATGCTCAGATCTGTACCCTAAACCCAGGCCTGCAGGGTCAAGCATCTGTACCTTCATAGGACATGACTCCCAGCTTTCATTTGATGTAAGTCAGTTACTGAGACTGGAGATAGCGAGGTGTCAGACATACAACCAAGCTGTGTGGTGTGAGCAGTCTCTTACAACGTGTGGCCATTACTCTAGTACTGGAAAGATGTGTAAGATAAAAGTTCCTTCACTCCAGTTTTGTATCAGCATAGCTTTCACTCACACCAACAGCACTATCAGGGAGAGAAGCACTAGATATTAAAAATATCAGCGGTGTCTGAGGCAAGCAGGAGGGTTCCCTATTCTACACACTTTTCCAGCTCTTCATGGTGTTTGCACACCAGTCTCCTTGCGTGTTGACAGATGCCTTCTGAACAGCTTTGAGGTTAGCAAACCCTATCTTCCTGTGAGGGCAGAGACGTTTCCTTGCTGTGTTCCTGCTCCCATTATGTTTTCCAAGTTTTAGACTGAGCCAGATCCTCAGCTCAGAAAAATTAACGAGCAAACTCATCCTCCACCAGCCAAGACCTGCTCGTCAATGTGGTTCCCTTTGGGTTTGTTTGGAGATGGTAATGGCAGGGGTAGCCCATTGCCCTTTTTTCATGTCTTGCCTTTTTTATGTAACTAACTATCTGATTTTGAACTAACCTTTCCCCCCCATCAGAAACTCATGCTACCTGTTTCCAAGGAGATTCAGAAATCATGTTTTCCCTTCTTTAGAGACATGTAGTGGATACAGTTTTTGGGTACGATGATGATTCAATGGATTCTGAAACATCTTCTGTGGCCTCATATAGAACAGACAGAACACCAGCAACCCCAGATGATGATCTGGATGAGGTGAGATCTGACTCCTTCCATAGGCAAGGACTGGTTGTCAAGAGACTGACTTTCAAAACAAGTGGCCAGGCTCTCAAAAACACTTAAGTTTCTATAGTGCATATTGAGTGATAAGTTCTTCATTAAGTTTGGCCGCAATTTTAATTACTGATTCACTGAAGTGCTTGAGAGATTCTTTCAAAATCTAGTCCATAGAGTCTACAGCTATGAATTCATTGCAGTCTGAGTTTTTTTGTTGTATCCCCCTTCAAGAAAATAAATCTATCACTTTTAGCTTAAAGACCTATAAATGCTGTATAAATTCCACGTTCTTATTACTTCATATCACAGCAGGCTCACCTAAAAGCTATTTGAATAAAGACCTGTGAACCAACTCTTGTGTTTAACAAACCACACTTGCATTCTTTGCTTTGGCAGTGCTCTCCTGTCTGGTGTTTACACATGTCCTTTCTTATCCTTCAGGGTTTAGCAGCGGAAGAATCAGAGCTGCGGTTTCGACAGCTGACAAAGGAGTACCAGGCCCTGCAGAGAGCATATGCACTACTGCAGGAGCAGACAGGAGGCATCATAGATGCTGAAAGAGAAGCCAAGGTCAGTAGTTGTTTGAGGGTGAAAGCATTTAGTTGTTACCGGGACGTACATACAAGGGACTGGAGTTACATACAGTATCCATATGGCTGAGGGATCTCTGCTTCCCTCACTTGCTGAGCACATATGAAGAGAGGGATGATGAAGAGTGGACATGATCACTCAGTTTACAAGGGGCTGTCCTCCACCTGAACCTAAAAACTGCAGTTAGGCAGCCATGCCAAAGCAGGTAATTATTCTGTAATTTGGCACAGAATCGCAAGAGGTTTCTCATCTTTTGCCCAAGCGTGAAGGGTTGGGCTTTACAGGGAAATGGGGGCCTGTGGGTTTTCGCAAAGGCACACGTTGCACCAACTTTAAGAATATTCACCTGAGTGTTTCTAAGAGAGAAATGCAAATTATGATGAAATTTTAATGTGATGCAGACTATAGTAAACCTTCCAAGGCTAAAAATTTCGTCCATTAATAAAATCATAGAATCATTCAGGCTAGAAGGGACCCCAGGTAGTCTCCGGCCCAAACTCCTGCCCAAAGCAGTGTCAGCCGTGCGGTCGCACCGGGTTGTTTAGTGCCTTGAGTCAGCTCTTTAAGACCCCCCCAGGCAGTTAGAATTGCTGCTTTCCACTACCTTTTGCCACTCTCATTTACTAAGCACTTTTCTCCAATTCAGGGACTGCCCCTTACTGGGGTCTTTGAGCAAAGCCTGTCATCCTGAATGCCTGAGCTTCTGTTCGCTGTACTCATGCAATACCTGGCAGTAGCAGGCTTGGGCAGGGAGGGGAAGCTGTTTGCCACTGTTCCCCTGGGTCATCCTGTGCCCGTCTGAGGGGTGGCACAAAGCTCTTCGTAGCGCTTACTCAGTGGAAGGAACAGCATCAACCCAGGCTCTGCTGTGTTTGGTTTCCTTTTAATACCAGTGACGTTGCTGGCTTTGTTACTGTTTAATGCTGTGTCTGACTTCACTAGGCTCAGGAGCAGCTCCAAGCTGAAGTCCAGAGGTATAAAGCCAAAATAGAAGATCTGGAGAAAACTTTGGCACAGAAAGGGCAGGTAAGCACTTCTTGTGTATTTTCTTTTCCTATGCTGGATCTTAACCTGCTCTTCTTACAAAATACTTAGCACAACTTCAGTACAGACTTCCATGAGATGTCATGTTGCTGTTCAGTAAACAGACAGCACTAGCGAGTTCAGGAGCCTTGCTATGGCTTGGTAGATGAGTATGTTGTTGTTCTGAAAATAACAGTTAATTCCTGTAGGTTTGTAAAGCCTGAATGTTGTGCCTCCAATTTTCAATAAATGTGCCCAACTTTGTGGAGTTCAATTATTCTGTAATAGTGCTGCTTCATCCAACAGGACTCGCACTGGGTAGAAGACAAACAGCTTTTCATTAAGAGGAACCAAGAGCTTTTAGACAAGGTATGTTCCTCAGTTCTGCGTGTTCACTCTGAAGGGTAATCTGGATCCTGCAACACACTTTTTGAACATGCAGTCTGGTGTTTATAAGTGTAGTATAAGGACAGAAGAGCAGAGATTAATATAGACAGGATAACATATGGAAAGACAAGCCCCTCCTGCTCTGCTCAGGCACTGCTCTTGCTGGCAGGTGCGGATGCCCCAGCTCTGCTGGAGGCTCTACTTGCCGTTCTGGCTCCAAGGTGCAGACCTTCGTGTTCCAGCAGCATTGCACTGAAGAGTTGGCTGCTGCTGCACTGGCAGGGTGCTTTGAGCTTGGCTTCTGGGTGTGAAGCAGCAGTAGAAATGCCGTCACCCTCTAACACCAGGACCCTTTCATACACCCAGTCCCTGTGTGTTCTGTGTATTTTTAAGGACTTGGGTCCAGTGGAACTTGTACTGTTCAGTCCCTTGGTACATTTAGGAATATCACCTGTTTGTGTATATATATTTGTATGTATGTATATATTTTTAATCGTGGAATATAAGGATATGAAGGGCCTCAGTGTTGCTTGCATATTGCCAGCAGTAACAGCAGTGGCCATACGTGTGATGCTATCAGCAAGAGGCCATAACTTCCAGCACCACTGTCTTTCACCTCCCCAGATGAGGTTTCTTAGCCTGTGTTTCTTCCCTTCCATGAACACACCTAGTGAGTCTCCAGCCCTGTACTGTCCTTCCCCATCCAAACTGACCTGTGGGGGCTCATTTGCCCTCAGACTTACCATGCGCGCTGGCTGCCCTTGTCTGGGCCCTACTCAGACAACCTGACCGCAAAATACATGTCCTGGCACTGGCTGGAGACTTGCAGAAGAGAGCAGGCTGGGGACTATGGTGGAGTTCTCCCCCAACAAGCAGGCTGTAGACAAGTGGCCAGTGGGTGGGATTTAGCTGACAGATCTTGTCGAGATGCTTGCTGTGAGCTCACCCCAGCGCTTGTGTGGGGTGGGCTGGCTGCTCGGGTAACTGCCCCGCAAAGAGAGCTCTCCCTCCCTGCATGCTGTCTGTGGTTCTTGCACTAGCTCTGGGAATCTCTGACCTAGCTCAAGCTCCTCTCCGAGGCAGGTGCACTTGTCCAGCCTGTTCCCAGAGTCCTCTGACAACGATGTCTTCACATCCTTCCCCAGACTATTCCAGTGCTTTACCATGAGAGCAGTGTGTTGAATAGCTTGATGCAGACTAATCTGTAGCTAACCTGGCACTTATGTAAAGTTAACATCCCCACTGATCTTCACGGGAATTGGGTTCTTTCAGGAAAACCTCTAGCCTAAGTGTTTTATGACGTTTAGGAAGTTGATGAGCAGAAGCTCACCTGTAAACTAAAGACTCACTGAGGTAAGACAGCAAGTAGTGAATCATCTCTAGAGTTTGGATTTTGTGCTGCCTGTGCTACCTCAACTACTACTCACCAGATATTCAGTGTAACAGTCACACAGATCCTGACTTTACGTGTTTCTATTAGATAGAGAAAATGGAAGCAGAAAACAACCGTCTGCAACAGGAGCTGCAGGATGCCCGAGACCAGAATGAGCTGCTGGAGTTCCGCAACCTTGAGCTGGAGGTGATGGATGAGCTCGTTACAGTGGAGCTGGTAGCAAATTAAACCAGTGCACTTGCACTGGACGCCAACTTTAATCAAGTGTTTACGCAAGCTTTCTAGTGATTTAACAGAGTCACAAATCAGGCCCAGTGATTTCATCTGTGAGCTGAAGTATGTCAGCTCTAATATCCTGGAAATAATCAGCTCCATGCCTGACTGGTTCACCTCTCTGAGCTGGGTGCCCAGCACACACAGAGCAGCTTAGCTGATGGATGCCAGCATGGCTCTTATTTACCACACCTGCAGATATGATTTTTCTAGTACTTTGGAGCAGCCTGTTGTCAGCATGCTTTTTTCTTATTGCTGGCTTGGAATCTACTGAAATCAACAGAAATTAATTACATTTAAAATTGCCGAATAAGTAAGGCTTAAACTCCATTGTCTTGTACTTTTCTCAGTGCTGCATCCTGGTTCACAGCTAAGATCTCTCCTGAGAGGAGGCATCCACGATTCTTTTTGCTGTTTTTTTTTTTTTTAATTTTCATTAACCTGAGCATTTCTCTCAATTTCTCAAAGAAAGAATTTCTCAAGAATTTCTCAAAGGAGAAAGAAATGTTGAGTGTACTTTTATCTCTAATAGCTGAAGAGTAGAGTGTTCCTCTAAGAAGTCAGAGGCGCAGGTACAGTTCCCTCTTCGGGGTCGAATCTTTGACTTGTAAAATGAAGAGCCTGGCTTTGTGAAGCATTATACAGACAGTAGCTATGGCATTTAATGAGTTCTGGGGGCATCTTCTTCATTCTGATATGCTCTCTGGTGTCTTTTCAATCTATTTTCAGGAAAGAGAGAGACGGTCCCCACCATTTAATCTCCAGATTCACCCATTCTCAGATGGTGTCAGTGCTCTACAGATCTACTGCATGAAGGAAGGGGTTAAGGTAGGTCAGTTCTATAAGGCAGCACTTCTGACTGCAGGAGTGGTGGGTGCTGCCCATATAACCTATTACATTAATCTCTGCTAATAACTCCACTAAACTTTAAGCATTTAACTCAGTCTAATGTAGGAGTCTGTGATAACTGACACAATTGAATTGGACTAATCATTTTCACCAGAATGATAAAACCTGGTTTAAAGGCAACTGAAATCAGTGTGTGATGCATATCCATGGGATAAAACAAAATGGTTGATTTCCACATGGTTTGTAGGAGGGACAAATACTGCAGCTGTGATCAAATGTGCATGCCATGCCTTTACCTTATTCTCTCTTTGCAGGATGTCAGCATCCCAGACCTCATAAAGCAGTTAGACATCCTAGGTGACAATGGGGTAAGTTAAAGTGGGAGATGCTTTCCATTTACAAGCTGCATTTTGTACAGTAGAGTAAGTGAAATCTATAATTATCCTGACTATTTTCTAAGATATTTGTTAAATTACATAATACCAGAACAATACATATAGGGAGTGTTTATTTCCATAAGTTAAGGATTTGTGAGAATTCAATAGTCAGAGAACTAGTAATGAAGTAGCAGCTTTAACATCTGGTTTAGCAGACTAGGAAGAATGTCCAAAGGCCACTGATATTTGGAACTGGGCCTGACTGCACTCCAGTCGTTCAGGAAAGCACGTGAATTAGTTCAGCAGCCTGAGCCAGCCACACCTTCATCAGAACTAGGATGCCTCTGCAAACAGTTTCATAAATACACAAGAATGAACGAATCCCTTGAGGCTTTCTAAGTGGGCATTGCTGCCCACTTTAGTCATTCATGTAAAAGAGGTCATTCATCCTCTCTCTGTCCAACATTAGATATGTTCTAATAAAGTGCATAAGAAATAAAAACGAAGGATTGTGATTCTTTGCTCATGTGCTGGTGTAAATCAGCATTTTTTTTTTACAAAAGCCTTAATGGAGATTCACCTTTGTAAAACTAGCATGAAGACAGACAAATGGGTCTAATTTTAGTTTACGTTTCTCATAAGGTGCAGTGGAATGAAAACATATAATTAGTCCGTCTCATGCAGAAAGGCACAATTAGTGCTCCTTTTTAGTATGTGAACAGACTCTGAATGTTTCAATGGGCATAGGATACCAAGTACTACAGGGATCCCCTGAAAACTGTAGACCTAGTCTGTAAACTGGATTATCTTTATTCATGCAGGAAACTGCTGCCAATTTTCTTCTTCCTTCTCCCCTTCACAGAATTTAAGAAATGAAGAACAAGTGGCCATAATTCAGGCTTCCACTGTATTGTCCTTGGCAGAAAAGGTAAATTGTGTGCTTGCTTTTCTCATGTGTTATCTAAGGCCTCATCTAACACTGGAATTTTCTGCTCTGTTGTTGTCAATATTGTCAAACTTTCTAGTGTAGGAAGTGATTCCCCAGATAAACTGCCAGCACAGTCCCAAACACCTTGCTAAAGCAGCAAAATTACCAAACTTAGCTGGCCCAGGCTGTGAAGTCTAAACAACCACAAGTATAAAAGGAATGCCAAATGAAGCTTGCAGTTGTAAAATGAAATTTTACAATGTAAAATGTAAAATTTAAAAATGAGAAACCATCAGACATTTAAGCTGTAATTAGTTACAGTGTGGGGTTTCTAGTCCTGAGATTTCCAAAGCTTCTGAAGGGATCTGTATGCAAAATTTCCCCTGAAAGTTTTTGTCTAAGTTCCTTGATTTGGAAATTAAAAAGAAAGTGAGGCTTGGTTAAAATTGCTTTCTGTGGCTCAAAGGCAGCACACAGTTTGTCAACATGACGGCTTCCAAGGATTCTACTCAGTAATTCCTCCTCTGTGAAGAGAATTGCCATCTACCCCACTAAGCTGTTTTTGAGGTGCTAGAGCCCCTTATCCACGGGGGGCAGTGGGTTTCCTGCCCACCCGAGGAAGAGCTTTTCCAGCTCCCAGAGACCCGGTAACGGTGATCCTGTCGCTTCTCTGTCGAGTGCGACCTGCAGACCCTGCGGCTGCCCCTCTCACAGGAGAGCAGCCTCAGGACGGGCCCAGAACTAGCAATAAGTTACTAAACGACCAACAAGCGGCTGTACGTGTCCCAGTTGCCACTGCCCACGTGCCTAGAAAGCACAGCGGGTTACAGCTCTCCTTGTCTTCCCTCCAGTGGATCCAGCAGATTGAGGGAGCTGAAGCTGCTCTGCATCAAAAGATGATGGAACTGGAAAGTGATATGGTAAGCAAACACTCCTGAATACGCATTGCAGGGGCCAGACACAGAGTGTCACACTTACTTCGTGGGGCAAAAAGTAACTAAAGTGTGCAGCTTTCTCTGATTATGGGTGAATCCATAAGATTGTTACTAGTCTGGTTCACATGCAACAGCAGAATAACATAGAAACAGAAATGGTGCAGGTTTGAAAACCCCCTCTCCATGAGGATGAGTGTTTATCAATGAGTACAGAGGGCTCACTCCTCCTCCAAAATAAGAAAGCACAAAAGGAGTTGTCCATAATGCCAGAGGGGGCATATTTAGAAAAAAATCACCCAGAAACCTCTAGATTGCACTACTGAAATGCCGAGCAATACCACTGAAGTAAAAAAAGAGATGATATATTTAGTTCCATGTAGAGCAGATGTGTTGCCATACAAAAGCCATCCACAGCTATTTTCCCTTCTTTTCTGAGTCAGATATTAATAATTCTGCAGTGTCAGTTGAAGACCAGTCTCCCAAGTCCTGCCTGAGTCAGATATCTGCAGTTGATTTAATGAAATTTCCCAAAGTATTTTGAGTAACTAATTCATTTTTCTGTCCAAATGATCCTTCATTGTAGGAGCAATTTTGCAAAATAAAAGGTTATTTGGAGGAAGAATTAGACTACAGGAAGCAAGCTCTTGACCAAGCATACATGGTATGTACGAAGGAAATTCTGCAGCACATATTGGCCAGCACTGTGACAGGACACAGGCTCCTGTTGGATCAGGAAGAGAGGTTTTTGCTTTTTTCTTAGTATCTTTTTTTTTTTTATTTGGGTTTTGTTTTGTATTCTTCTAATGCACTACTGTGCAGTCTGCACAGCTTCAACGCGACAGCTAGCTTTGTCATGTCACAAAAGGCAGATCTGAAGCCTGAAACTCTTGTCAGTTAAAGGCAGATATTGCTCATTAATGTTGGCTTGTCCAACTGGAGCCAGTGCAGCCAACTGGAACTCAGATCTGAAATCTTGGCCGTTTTGAACATGTCTTGGCAAGAAGAAAATATGCCACAAAAAGCAAGAGTTCCTGCTCTGAACCCTGCTGTATCAAATTCTGATATGTAGGTCTGATAACTGCCTGTGCAAGTTCATCATGTTTGGTTTGTCAGTTTAATGAGGATGCTCAATTCAGCAGCAGGATTAAGAGCATAGTAGTCTGACAGTGACCTTCAGTCTTTCCTCTTTTTTTTTTTTTTAGCACAATGGGTCAAAATTTTAGAATTGGTTTTCATCTTTACACTTATAGGTATGAAAATTCTATCTGACTCCTAATTGTCTCTGTAACTGCTTAAAAAAAAAGGGGGATGTCAGTGAAACTTAATATTAAATTGTTTTAAAAATAAAAGTTTGTATCCTGTTGTCAAAACACTGATCCACTTGATGAGTTCTGTTTTTCACACTTTTGCACACTTGAGCTCAGGGACCACCTCTCATGCAGGCGCCTCAATTTGCTACCAACCCCCCAGTTCCCACTGTGTTTTAAACAATGTTTCATCTCTAATTGGCTTTTGGTATTGCATCAACCAGAGGATCCAGGAGCTTGAAGCCACCTTGTACAATGCTTTGCAGCAAGAAACGGTGATAAAGTTTGGGGAACTACTCACTGAAAAACAGCAGGAAGAGCTGAGGACAGCAGTAGAAAAGCTAAGACGTCAGATGCTGAGGAAAAGCAGAGAATATGATTGCCAGATTCTTCAGGAGAGGATGGAACTGCTCCAACAGGCTCATCAGGTAAGTAAATGGAACCATCACAGCTTTGCTGGGCAAGAACAAGCTGAGGTTAAAATTTAGGCAAGCTCCAGGTCATAAGGGAGCCTGGCATCCAGTTTTTTGAGTTGTTTCATACTTTGGTCTTTACCCTGTACACAAACCCATGTAGTAATAGCATGTGGAGGATTGTTTTGATGTATTTTGAGTCTTAAAATTCCAAACCAAAGTGTTCATCCAGAATTCTGTCCCCGTGAATCCACCTTTGAAACAAAAATGGTCATCCCTGGTTACTGGGCTGGGCATGAGAGGAACTGTATGAATGTTTCTGGTTTGTGTTACACGGGAGAACTCTCAGTTTTTCCAGACACTTCTGCTCTGCCCCCCCAAAGTGGGCAGTTGTTACGTTTTGCTGCTGAGATACAGCAGTACATTTTACATTCAAAGACCAGTGCTTGCGGCTCTGCAAGCTGTGAGGTCGCAGAGCAGAACAGCACAGTCACAGTGTGCTGATTGATGTGACAGCTGCCCAGTGGAACAAAACTTAACCCAGTGTTTATGGGAATAAGAGAGAGAGCATGTGTCCAGTGGTTCGGGGTCCTGGCTCACAGGAAGACTTAGTTTTCACAGTCCTGCCTGGTCCTGAGTCGGAGACTTGAGGCTGGTCCTTACATCATCTTACCAGGCCTTTGCAGCGTGAGGAGCTTCTTGATCTCAGCCCTGATCAGCGCTGCCACGCAGCTCTGGCTGCTTTGAACAGCTCAGTCTGGGCTGCAGATGGGGTTGGCAAAGGCTGAGAGGCAGAGGAAGGAAGAGAGGGTGTGTGAACGCTGCTGTAAGCGGGCAGATGAGGAAGATGGTCCCCAGGGTGCCCTCTGCTCTCCAGTGCTTCCTGGGTTGCCCCTGGATCTCTGCTGTTCGCTGGCCGGCCGATGCCCTGACTACAGAGAGAAAACAGATCGAGATTCAAAGCCTCGTTTTCCTTCCTCAGCAGTTCTGTTACCTGTTCTGTGGGATCTCTCTTCCCAAGGAGCTGGAAGTTTAACTCACAGTACATAATTTTTCTAGAAGTACCTAGCTCTGCTAAAAAACATACACCTTGTTGACAAATTACATCTATCCTGCTCACTACAGAATCAATGTTTTCATAGTGCTTTCTACATTTATCATTTCAGATCTAATAATAACACCTTAATCCTCTTTTAACACATCAAACTGTGAGAAATCTTAATGAATCATAATAAAATTCTGAAGAGTATAACCATGGCCTTACACTTTCTATCCATTTAACACAGGATTAATATAAAATAGATAATATGAAACATCCACTGTTGGTAAGCAGTAGTGTATTTTGAGCAGTTGTACACGTGGTAGAGTTGTGGTTAGGCAGGGTTGGTGGATGGAGTCATGGTACTCCTCCCTGCCAAAGAAATGGATTTGTTAGTTTCTAGGCTTCTTGCACTTGGAACACTAAGTTACTTGTTCAGCGGAGCAGATTTACTACGAATTTAGTCTAGATGCTTTCTTTTCTGATTTCCAGAGGATCCGAGATTTAGAAGATAAAACTGACATCCAAAAGAGACAGATTAAGGATCTGGAGGAAAAGGTTGGTTCTCTTATGCTTCTGAAGCATGTTGATCAACTTTTTTGAAAGTAATGACCTAGTTCTCTTGAACTACATGACCTTTGTGTCTAGCTGAACCAGCTGGACCTGGTGGTGGTGTTCTTTTCAATTTGTGTTTCAGTATATACAGATTTTAATCTTAGAATCTCCTTCACAACACTTCATTTTAGGAAATAAATGCCAAACACTTTTAATTATGGGGAATGATACTGTACTAAATGCTGAAGCATTTACTTGACTGTTGTGTGCTGGTAGATGGGCAATACCTCATTAAAGGCCCTTAAGGTGAGGCTAGTGAGCAGGAAGGACTGAGTGAAACTGAGCGAAGACTTGAAGTTTATCTGGTGGGGTTAGGGAGCTCTGGTTTGGATGCTGTCCTCTTTATTGAAGCTTCTAATTGACTGTGCTATATCAATACAGTACCAGAATCTTGCCCTGAAACTCAACTGTCAAAGAGCCATATATGCACATTCTTTCTACATATACTGTATATTTACATACACACATACTCTCTCTCTGTAGAAGTATGCACTGCATTTTTTTTGGCAAGTAAGACCAGCTGTGGCACACTGAGTTTTGCTACTTGTAAGTTAGATAGGATTGTTGGAAAAACATCATAGCATGGGCACAGCGTACTGCTACCAAGAATGTCTTTTCTAGAAATGCCAGAGTGGTGTAAGATGTTTCTCCAGCGGAAGCCTGGCCAGTGCACTTACAGTAGTAACTGGCAATGTCGGTGTGTAGACTATAATGTGAGATAATGGCTGTGTGAACACAGTGACAGCAGTGCCCTCTCTGTTTATGTGTACGTTCCTAAACTGAAACAAGTGGGCATAATGCAAAACTTGATGCATATAATTCCACTTTTTTGCCATGTTTTTGTGATATAAAGACTCAGTGTCTGTCTTTCTAAATATATATATAACTTGGAAAAATAACAGATTAGAATCTTCGCTGAAATTAAAAAAAAACAAAGCAAAGCTTATGCCATGGTCAAATAGAGACCTTGAATAGGAGACTTTTTAGTATCAATTTTCAAAAGAGCTTTCAACTTACAGAAAGTCACATCTTGGAAGATAATGCATTCATGATTAAAATGAGAGATCAAGAAATTGAACATGTAATGGTTAGGTTTTGATACTTTGTGGGTGGGTGTGTATAGATATATACATATATATATATATATATTTCCAGACTATTTCCAGCATGGATTGCAGGCACTGTTTTTTAACACACTTAAAAATATTACCCATGCAATTTTTGATACCCAGCTTTGTGCCTTCAATCAACCCATGGCAGTTCATAGTGAGGGTTACACCTCAGGCTTTCAATATGGTGCCAACTGTAATTCATCACCAAAATTAATGGGATTGTTTTCTAAGCCTGGGAGGTGGTACGGTAATTAGAGAAGTAGCTAGGGAAATACAGTGTTTTCTGAATGCATAGTTATTCTAACTGTCCTACAGAGTGCAAAAATAATCCTGATGCTTACAACAGCATGACCTTTAGTTTTTTACGCAATCTTCTTTTTCTTCTGCAGTTTCTATTTCTATTCTTGTTCTTCTCTCTTGCCTTTATTCTTTGGCCTTGATGTCAGTGTGCCTCTTGGAAAGGTAAGACTGTTTTATTTATTTCCTCAAAGCTAGCCCTTCTTGCACAGAGCTGAGGGTGACATCCTTGTGTGTTGCTGGGTGTGTCTGGAGTCAGGGGACTCGGCCAGGTCACTGTCAGTTCAGTCTTCCCAGGGGAGAGTCACCACCTTCCTGGCTGCCCAGGGAGTTGCAGTCAGACATCACAACAGACTTGTGAGCTGCCAAAGCTCGCTAGTGGTACTGTGCTATGCAGAGTTGTAAAAGTAAAAACTAACAAGAATTTCACAGTATCAAACAGGCAAGAGAATTGCAGGTGAAATTAAATGTTGATGTTTGCAAAGTGGTGCAGAGAGCAAACAGTTCCAAATCTCAACCATATACACACTGTAGTGGGCTCTGAACTGACACTCAGGAGATCAGTCAGGAGGTTGTAACGGCTGGAGCTTAGTGTCCAGGGGGAGAGATGTGAGGAAGAACAGTCAGCTGCTGGGAGACAGAGAGATGGAAGGATTTTTTCTGCCTCAGAAAATGACACTGATAAAAAGAGGTATGGGAGAGGTCTAGAAGATGTCATGAAAGGATGGATGGACATATTGCTGTGGTTCACTGTCTCTTCCAGTCCAAGCAATTGTCATGTAATAAATTCAAAGTAAGCAAAAATGGATCATTAATATGTGGGATGCAAAGAAGTCTTTGCCACAGCATGCTTAGCAGCTGGCAGTTCAGAGTTCAAAAAGCAATGTGAAGATGGGAGATAAATTGGGGAAAAGTGCATAGCCTTCACATTTTTCCTTCTGTGCCTAGCCACTTTTAGAATGAGGATGCTGGGCTGCGAGGATCTTCCTTCTGATCTGGGATAACAGAAATAGAACATAGCCTAGATAACGTTATGTTAAAGACCCAAGATTATGTAATGACTGATCAAAATTTTCTGATTTGGGGACAGACCCACACCATTGCATTTCTCACTGTATCTCTTGGCTCTGCCTTGAGCTGTGTCAATGAATAAATTCTGCCCTGCACATGAGGCAAGCTGAGAAGACAGTTGTGTGTGCACGGAGGATGTTTTGCCATGCCCTTCCACCTTTTGCACTGGCTCGAGCCTTTGATTCCAGGTGCAGTTCCAGGTATTGGTTATAACTAAGTGGCGTGGGTCCAGTCTGGTGGGTTTTCCCTGTGTAAGGAAAAGCCCCCTGCTTTGTGCATCATTTCGGGTAGATCAAGGGTTCGTTGCAGTTTTGTCCTGATGCAGAGACAAGTCTCAGAATTAGGCACATTATGGAATCCCCTGCCTCCTTGGCTGGCCAGAGCTCAACACGGGTGGTTCATGGTCTGAGGCAGCAGCGTACGTGGGGTTGGGCTGAACGGGGAATGAGCCACAGGAAAGAACCAGAGGAATGAGGACAGATCAGGGATCATGGCTCTTGTAAACAAGGGCCAACATCATTACAGAGTTGCTGTTATTTAAAACATACTGCCTTGATCCAGTCAACATTAATCAGATTAAGTTATGACTGCATACTGACTAATGCTCCTGCCGCAGGACTGCTGGGAACCGTGACACAGCACAGCACTTGTGATGTCTTGAGGGGCCATGACTGGTGAAAATCTGATTTTACAGTTTCTTGTTTATTCATGGAGGGGAAAAAAATCAGAAAGTCTTCTGAAACAGCCTGGAAGTCTCTCTGAAACAGCCAAATTAATGTATAGGCTAATTTTAAGAAGCTAATTTTATTTTCACAGTACACAGTGATATCAAATAATTTTTTAAGACTGTGTCTTTTGCTGTACCACAGAATCGTGAGTGCAGAACAAGCAGCCAACCTAGAGGGAGAGTAAAAAAAAAAAAAAAAATAGTCCTGGGTTTAAGGTGCCCCTTGAAAGCTCCCAAGAACTGATAGTGACATTTGCAGGAACCCGCTGCATCAGGTTTTTCCCATTTGCCGGTTGTACTGTTGTCCTGCTTTTGGTTTCTGTCACAGCTACAATAAAGTCCTTGTGAAGCATATGAGAGAAACTGGGGCAATAAGAGGTTCCGAATCATCTGTGTATACAGTCAGCACCTATATTTTCCACCTGTACCGGTTTGGAATTGGTTTTCTGTTGAGTATTTGCCTCTTCTGGTACAGCTGCAGAATTAGTAAGAAGCTTCTACATTCTAGTTTTACCAGTGCTGGTATCAGGGTGGACAAAAAATGAGAAACTGGGGGATTGTTATTTCTTTTAAAATGTGCCTCAAAAGAGATCCCTTGCTCAGTTTAGGTCACCTTGATTCAAAATGCCTTTGTGACATGAAGTTACTGAACAGATTTTCCTAATCCTGTCTCTTTTAAGATGGAGCACCCAGTAAAGTCTTTGCAGCAGAGCATGAATTCTGAGAAATACAAATCAAAATTGTCATTATTATTAGAATTCATCAGGAAATGTCTTCCTGAGCTTTTAAAATTGTTTTTAGTCTTGAAAATTATGTTTTTCAGAAGTTTAAACAAAACCTCAGTGGTAGATACAAATGCCAGAAAGATCTAGAAAAATGCATAAAATTTTTATTATAGATATCACATTTTTTATTAGAAAAGAAAAAGATGATTCACATGAAAAACTTAATCCACCTGTAACTGAATTTAGAACAGGAAATCCCTAGTCCCAGAACAAAAATGTCAGTGTGTGTTTCCTGAGGCGGTGTGCGTGGTTTGGTATGCCAGCATAGAAGAGAAGGGAAGAGGAACTGAGAATTACAGACATAACATGGATGAGTCACTTGGGTTTTCAGGAATTGCAGGTATATACCAGTATCTTCTGAAATAAGCATTTCCCAAAATACAAGAAAACCCCACACTATTACTCTGACATTGGAATTCCAGTGGTGCTGATGAACTCTTTGTCTTGGTGTAAGCCAAAATGTGTTGCTAACATCTTCTTTTTCATCTTGCTTTTTTGTCTTGCTAATCTTTTTTTTTTTTTGAGAATAAATTAGGTCAGTGTCAGTGTAGCTTCTGCTATGTGCAGACAGAACTGAAGGCTGGTGCTGCAATGATGCCTGATTTCTAAAACTCCAAAACGAGTCTCACAGAGTTCCTCTGCCAGCTTTTACGGTAATGTTGGAGCCTGTGAAAATATCTCTGGTGCCCTTTAACATTTCAGTGTCTTCATGCTAAGAAAAACCATGTTTCAGCAGCCTGCCAATTTGTGTACTCAAAGGCAGACTGAATAGTTTGTTACAGAGGAGCCATTCCTTCCCTCTCCTCGCAGCAGGAAGGGGAGAACCGCAGTATAAAAGGGGAAGAATCGGGACCAGCAAAAAAAATACACCACCCCTTCCACATTTGCTCATAACACTTATGGCCTTTTGGTCTAACTTGAGGGCAGATACTGGCTGGTTAGAAAAGTTAATGAGGTGTTAAGAAGGTCAGAATTTTACGTTCCTCCTAAAATTCTAGCGGATTTGTTGTTATTCACCTGCAGTCATTCTTCTACCCGCACGTGGCTGCTGGGTACCATCCAGCACAAGCTCTCCGCACTCCTGGCGTGTTCTCTGAGTAGCACCAACAGTCAAAAGAAACGTAAGTGCTTTTCTGAGGCCTTGAGGACTGGCAGGACTGTCACAGCTGCAATGGAACCACGGCAGCATCGAGGCTGATCTCAGTGCCGGGGTTTTACATCGATCCTGCAGGGACCATGGCAAGACTTCCCCTGCCCCTCCAGCCCAATCTCTTTTAACAGGTTTTCTGCTTGTTTTAAACAGCATCTAAGGTTTAGCAGGTGTAAATCTCTTGGATGTAACTTCACTGAGCTTAGGAAGTGCCAGCATGAGCAGGGTTTCGCTCGCTGGCATCGCTGCTCCCAGGAGTCTCTGGGTTGAGCGGCTCGTGTCTCCGCTGCCCCGGAGAGGGCAAAAAGTGTCAGAGCTGGGATGTGGTCACAGCCCCGGGGAGCCTGCTGGTGTGCTGGGCCACCGGAGAGGAATGATTCGTTTGCCTTTCCCATCCCATTTTTGCATATTTGGCTCTGAATGTCAGGTAGGGAGCAAGAGGATGGATTACTGTGAGTGGGTCAGCAGAGGGGAGTAGCCATGGCAGTGGTGGAGAGGCTGTGATAGAGAGAATGGGCTGTTGACTATGAAAATGGAAAAATCTCACAGGTGAGGTGTGTGTGGGATATATAAACTCGATGCTTTTCCAGAGGATCTGCGTTGCTGTGAACTCCCTTGAACTGTAAAGACAGCTGCAGCAGGCCCAGCATCACAGCAAGCATGGTATCTGTAGTGTTTTACCAAGGCAAGTCACTCTACAAGTGCAAAGCATCAAGTCTTGTAGCAATTCCTCACAAACAAGGCAATGGTAAGCAGCTGTTAGCTCCTCATCCCCTGCCCAACCCCACTCCTCACCCCCTCCACGGGATCCCCACCCCTCAGTGCCTGAGGGGAAATCTTGAGACAGAATCAATTTGGGGATGGTGTTGGTGAGATCAAGAGGGATTTCGGCAAGGTTGTGTTTTCTGAGACTGGAATACATGGAGCCAGAGAGAGTAACTAACATCGATCTGTGTTTCCCATTCCCTTTAAAAACCACCTGCCTGCACAGGAGACTTGACGTGTGAAGTAACTGAGCAAGGGTGAGCATGGCACGGGGAGTGTGCTATCAGTGCTTCTGGCTCTTAGAACCAGAGGTACAGATCATCAGAGGGATCTTTGCAGAATTGCTTTATTTCCACTGGATGCGAGTTAGTTAATTTTGTTAACCGTATCATAAGAGACTTCAAACAGATCCTTGATAAAACAGCAAGAAAAGCACAACGCATCCTTGAAATGTACCTGGGGAGTCATTTGATGATGAAAGGTCTTTGGTTTTGTTCATGCCTTGCTGCAGTTCATCCTTTGCTGACCTTTTTAACTAGCTGAGAGCAAACCACAGTGCAGTTCCAGATGATAGTTTCTGGTGACTTTCAGAGTGAGCACAACACCCACTGCTGTACTTCTCAGATGAGGAAGGGCAGGCATGAGTGAAACCATCTGGAGCAATATAGAGAACCCGGTCCAGAAGCTCTCTACTTCCTGTTCACGTGTGATTTTTCCCACCTGCATTTTTTCTGTTTGAATATACACATTCACTTATTTGTGATCACATATGGAAGTCTGGTCTGCATGGATTTTGCACTCAGGGAATTTTACCATGTAGGCTTGAGTGCTAAGAGAATAAAGACAAAATATGCCTTTTTCCCCCTGGTTTCAAACCCGAGAACTGCAGTTCTTTCCCTAGGTAGAGAAGGCTTCCTTGGACAGGAGCAGCCTGTGTTGGGCTCATTGCGGCAGTAGCCAGAGATCTGGGGCTGCCCTGACACCACAAGCACATCACCTGCTGTCATGTCTCCCACCCCTGGTGGATTTTAGGCAGTTTAAGAGTTACTGGTGCACAACTGTTCATCTGAAGATGCCCATGAGGACTTTTATGGGCCAGAGGGGCTGTACTTTGTAGGGTTAAATGGACAGGCTTGGCAAATACCCACAATTTTCACAAATACCTTTCATACGGATGAACAGAAACAGTTTAACAACGATAACTGTAAGAACAGACTTTTTCAACTTTCTGAGGGATAGACTGCATCTTAGCTGGGGTAGGTAGGTAGAGGAACTTACCACTTACCTGATACAGATGTTGTTTTTTTTTTTTTTTTTTTACTTTTAGAGTGCCCGACCACACAGATAAGTCCTTATAAAGGCAAATGCTTCCATCCCCCAATGAAGAGAACATTGTTTACACCTATTTTAAAAAGTATAAAAAGGAACGACCTGTAGCCAAGACTGTAACCACCTTGTATTTTAAAGCCATCACTCAAGATTTGTTACTTGACAGTTCCTGTCTAAAGCTGTGATATATGCTGCATCTGATGAAATTCTATATGTTGAAATTACAACAGGGGAAGAAAAATAAACTGTGAACCTACATCACTTAGGAAGAACTTAAAGGGAAGGAACCACTTTCAGCTGATCAAGTCAGTGAGTCTTGGGCATGGAACCAAAGTTACAACAGAAAAAAGTCTATCCCTGCTGTGCAGGGCAGTCGTTTAAATGTGACACTGTCATCCCATGAATGGATCAAAAGTGAACAGGACAGAGCAGGAGAAACACAAGCCGTGGAGAGATGCTGACAACAAAGCATTTGGTTTGAACTGTCTGGCTTTCTCACTGCAGTGACTCCTCTCCCTCTTTGGTTTTAACCTCAGGAACAAATGACAGCTGCAATGTGGGGGAAGAAAGGAAAAACGCTTTCTGGTTTATCACAGGATGGGCAGGACAGGGCACCACGTTTTGTGCTTGGGGTCATAACAAAGCACCACCCTACTCAGCAAAGGAGGGGAAGAGGTGGGGGTCTGGCGTAAGGAGGATTTCTGACACTTGTAGCCTTATTTCTCTTTACCCTCCTTCCACGAAGAACAGCCTGTCTGTTGTCAGATACTTTTCTTACTCTTTGAAGACTGCCATTGAGATGATAGTGACTATACTTGGGTTTACTAATTAAATAATACACTGAGGATCACTGGATTGGACCCACAGAGTAGCTTCTGAGAAAGACAAGAAATATGATGGGGGACAGAGCGGGGAAAAAGCCAACCCCCTTGTCCACGTGGCATGATCCACAAAGCATCAGCTAGCAACTGTTTTGTCCCGGCTTGGAACAAATGTTTTGGTTTGGCTCGTTAAAATGACTTGGTTAGCTGGCTTCCTGATCAATGACATATAAACCAAAAATGGGGAACACATCCTTATTATAAGTAAGAAGAAGTATCACTAGTCTGTTTAGCTTTTTCCACAGTTAAGAATAACTAGAAGTAGTTTGCATTTCAGGCATTGCTCCCCTCTGCCCACAAAGCCTGGAACCCAGTCCTGGTGTCTCCCGGAGGCAGCACCGTCCCTGTCCCAGTAGTCGGTGAGAAACGAGCCCTGGGGGGTCTCTGCCCACAGCAAAGGGGCAAAGGGCCGGTGCTGGCCGGAGTGGAGCAGCCAGTGGCCCCCCGGGAGCCGGGCACAGCCAGGGGCTTCTCTGCCTATTTGCCTTCCCCTGGAAAGGGAGTCGTGCCTGTTCAGAGATCAGGTGGCAAGGCTCCATCTCTGAGCTGTGCCTTTCCCTTTCAGTTCAACCCGGAGAAAGGCGTGTCTCAGTTACCTAATAAAAACCAAGGGCCAGAATACAGCCCGTGCATTCCCTGCACCTTCAACACTGGGCTCACATGTACCAACATACGCACACAGACTCTGCCCATCAGAAGCTTTAGAAGTGCTTTACAAAGAGTCTCTCCTCGTTTGCTTGTTTATTTTTACAGATGGAGCAACTGAGGCACAAAGCAGTGAAGTAACTTGCCAAGCAACCCCCCAGGTTTCAAAAGCAGTTCCTCAGCCCCGGCAGGGATGGAGCTCCTCGGTACTGACACACCTGCCCCTCAGATAGTTTTTGTCCAGAATAGCTTTCAAGCATTAATGTCCTTTCACCCAACTGGATTGCAGTGCTGGGCTCCATTTCTCCACAGACTCCTAACACTCTCATTTCTTGCATGCCCTGAGATCGTGTTAAGCCTTCCATCAAAGGCTAAAAGCTATTACCAGGTGATTTTTTTTTTTCCCCCCCTGCTCCTTAGAATTAACATCTTGAAGCAGTTTGTTTCAGTCAAGGGGTTTACTGAATTCTACACCAACTATCTTTGTTGGTTCATTTCTTTAAAAACAGGGTTGTGGGCAGGTATGTTAAATGAATACAGGTATGTTGCATGCTCTTTGTTCAAATTCCTTTTCCCCCTCAGCAGAATCTGTGGATGAGGTTGGCCCAGACCTGCACGTGCTTTCCAAGAGCACTGGCAGCAGTTCAGTCCTGCCTGCTGCAGATTGGCCCTTCCAGAGTCTCGCCACACACCTGTGACTCCTTCAGGTCTCTCAGCAATGTTACAGCATCTTGTTAGCTACAAAAAGGGGGTTTCCTCTCTGGTTATTCCCTCTTCCCCCTCTTACTCTTTTTTCTCATTGCAGCACCAGTTCATGTCGTACTACTTGATCGCAGTGTCTTGCAAGTAAAGACAGGCTGGGAACTTTTCCCCAGGATTTGGGCCAGCAATTAAAACATTGAACTGTTTCAGAAGAATGAACAGCACTTGTGTTCCATGATGGTGCAGTAACTTCCTCCCCTGCTTTGGTATAAGAAAAAGGAGGACTAGAAACTGTTGTTTCAGATAATCATAGGGGAAGGTTCACAGCACAGATAGAAATATCTCGTGTCAGATCATACCTGACTGACCTGTGGCAGGCTTCATCATTTAGGCCCTCTGAGCCGCCTTGTGCACATCTTACTTCATTACTCTTTTTTGCCTAACTTCCCCTCCCTTGCTCGCATGTGTACATATGCACGCAGGTGCTCCTCCAAGGGCTTAGGGTGGGGCAGGGGATGGTAGACAGTCTGCAGCTTGTCTTGGTCTGCAAACTTGTAAGAGATTGCTGCCCTCCCTCCAGAGCTGAGGGGCGGCTGCTCCGCTCCCCTTGCAGCACAGCACAAGCCACGACTGAAACACTTGCTAAGGAGAGTAGTACAACTTTCGGCCATCAGCTGGATCGAGTTTGATGTTTGTATATATATATACATGTATCTATATATAGTATATATGTATATGTACATATATATGCATATATCTATTCCATATTGTATATAGTGAATCGTTGCTAGAGCTTATGAAAGTGTACTTCCAATCTAGGTATGGGGAACTGAATCTAGACTTGTTTAGCTGCCACAGCCGCTCCACTCCTCATGGTTTAGTTTTACATCTCATGGGCAACTAGTTTTTGGGTCTGTTTCTCTGGGGTCTCCCCCCCTTCTCTGTCCTGAAGTCGTTTATCTAGGGCTTTCTGCTCTTCCTGACATGCCCTGAGGCAAAGTATGGAGAATCCTCCCTCAAATTAGTCACTGCAGCCAACATCCCCTCTCCCAAACCGACCAGCAAAGTTCATTTCTTGCAGCCTCTCAGGACAGCAGATACAGCCCTGGGCTCTCCCCCCGCCCCGCTGGGGGCTGTAGTGGCAGCCCCAGCGCTCAGGCTCTCCACCGCAGCAGGAGCAGAGCAGCTTGCGGTCGTGCTGCTGCTTCTCCCTGACCGGGGAAGGGGGGGTGAAGCCAATTCCGTCCGTTCAAGCTCTGCAGGTGAGGGATGGATTCAGGCAGTTGGGGTTGCGGAAGGAAAGAGGCTTCTTGCAGCGTTACCAGCCTGGCTCTCGGCTCCCTGCTCGCGCTGATGTGCCTGGAGGGGCACGGAGACTTTTTTTGTAGCTCTGCTTCATTTCCAGAGTCCCCGCCCTCACCTCCGCGGGAAGTGTACTCCGACCTCCCGGCTTTGTTCCGCGGCATCCCACGAGGACGGAACAGGCCGGGCTCTCCTTCCCCCCTAGGGCAGGGGTCAATAAACGGCCACACAGTTGCTGGTGAGTCCAAGGGTTTTTTTTCTTTTCCCCTGCCCTCCCTCACATCAGCACCTGTGTGTTTTTATATATACTTTTTGTTCCCAATTTTTTGGGTGTCTGTTCCAGAACAGAATTGTAAATGACTTGGCAGAACGACCCTTTGATAAACACTGGACATGTACCTGTACGATATGTATTAACGTGTAGAAGAGAATCCTTATTGTATGTAAAGTTTTATGAATGGTTATTTTTTAATTTATGTATTTAATATAGGATTCAATGACCTCTGGTGTTTTAGTTTGTATAAAAAATAAAACTGCAGCATTTTTAAAAAAAGAAAATCTCACTTTACATTCACGGAGACCTTCAGCGTCTGTCTGGAATCTGTCCGGGCCAGCGGCCACAGGAGGGGCAAGAGCCGCCGGGGGCGGGGCCTGGGTCGACGTAACGGCGAGGGCGGGGCTGGGCTGGGCGGACGTAACAGCGGGGGCGGAGCCTGGGGACGTAACGACGGGGGCAGGGCTTGTGCTGACGTAACGGTGGGGCGGAGCCTGGAGGAACGTTGGCGCGGGGCTTGTGTTGACGTAACGGCGGGG